TCTTGAATTTTTCAATCATCTCAAAGATTATTGCATAGTTTCTGGAATGGATAAATTATATACTTAAATGGAATTACTTGGAAAAGGTTCATTTGCATCTGTAATTAATAAATATGATTAATAGGTGTATAAAGTAAAGAACTTATCTAATGAGTAAATGTTTGCAGCTAAAACATATTTTAAGGAGACATTTGAACAATCATAACATAAATCTAAATTTGTGGTACCATTTGTTCATTATTAAAGCTGAGCTTATGATAAAAAATGAAATCATGGTTTTACGTAAAGTTATTCATCCTGGTATAATACGATTATACGATGTTATTTAAGAGAAAGAGAAATTAATACTAATAATGGAATTAGTTTCAGATGGAGATTTGTATAATTTGATAAAGGAAAAGAAGAAAATTCCTGAAAAATATGCTGCTATTATGTTAAAAGGTGTATGTGAAGCATTGCATGAGATGCATATGTATAATAATAGAATAATTATTTAGAAATGAATTTGTACATAGAGATTTAAAATTAGAAAATATTATGATGAAATCAAGAGATCAATATATAATTAAATTAGTTGATTTTGGATTTGCAGAACCTATAAATCATAAAGAATTAGTATCTAAAGCAGGAACTCCTGGTTATATTCCACCTGAGATTTTCAAATTATTTCCATATACAGATAAAGGAGATGTGTTTTCAGTTGGAGTCATCTTTTATTCAGTATGAATCTTTTGTATTATTATTATAGTTAATATCTGGGATTTCATGTTTTAAAGGAAAAAATTATTAAGCAGTTTTGGAAGACAATAGAAAATGTGAAATCAGTTTTATGAGATCAGTATGGAATGATATCAGTAGTGAATGTAAACATTTGTTAAAGAAAATGTTGGCTAGAAAACCTGCTGATAGATATACTTGTGCTGATGTACTTAAAAATGAATGGATTTTAGTTCATACTTCAAATGAATATGAATAATAAGCAGGTTATATATCCATTATATAATTTTAGATTCTGAATTAGAAAGAAGGAATTCATATTAAACAATGAAGAAGTCTCATTATAGCCATTATAATTCAGTTGATGGGTCATAACCTGATTTTAATAATGATTTCTCTTATCATACTAATGATTTAAAATCTTTTTATCATCGTAATAGTTAAAAAACAGTAAAAACTTAAAGATCCATTATGTCAATAAAATCAAACAGTAATACTATTAATTTAACAATTAGATGATAAAATGAAATAATCAATGAGAAATAAATCAGCAAATAGTAAATAATAATAATTTACAAACTTTAAGAGTCAAACTCTAAAAAATAGAAATAAAAGTGCAATACATTCGAATACTGGTGGTGAAGGAGGAGCAGATTAAAAAAGTGTAAGATGGGTTGATAAAAAAAATAAGAGTGATGAACCATCTTTTGGGGATAAAAAAGAAAGTTTAAATATATTTAAAATTTAGATGATTCTATCAAGACATCCATTTCTCTTAAAATATTTGAAGATTTTGAAGCCATTAATTAAAATAATGTTGCATTTTTGAAGATATCTCCTATGTTATTTAATCTATAAAAGAAACCTGATTCTGATGCTAAAATTAATGAAGCTATTAGAAAGAAAAAATAATAAGCTATTCATTTTATGAAAGTAAAATGATAAAAATACATATTTAATCAATATTCTGATAGTTTTTTTACATTTTTTTCACTATTTTAGAATTAGTCTAACTTCTCTATTCAAAATAAATGATGATATCTTACAAATTTCATCTATTAGAATAATTCCTTATTTTATTATATTCTCTATATGATTATTATATATTTTAGTTTAAGTTATTTAATAAATTTGCCCTTGATTAGTCTTATTATTGTATTTTAAGCCAATTTATTATTCTTAATGATGCTTGAAATTTTTTTTAATGTAGGATCATTTGAATATAATTCTATTCATGTAGTATTGTACCAAGAGTAATTGATAATGTGATTTAAACTAATAAGAATGATTGTCTAATTATCAATCTATATTATCAGAATTTAAATGTATATTATTTAAATGGATCAGATTGAAAATGATATTTAAATTATGAATAATAATCACTATTATAGATTCATCTTAACAGGAAATAAGAATCGTTATAAATCAATTGAGTAAAATTTAGAACTCAATAAAGATGTATATTCAAATAAAAAGCCTAAACATAAAAAAATATCTCTCATTCCAGGTATAAACACTTTATAATAATCAATATTTGTTTAGAATCCTAAGTCTTTGAGTATTCTCATAATTTTGACAATACTTCATTAGATGAACACTAAATTAAAAATAAATCAGAATCAAACTAAAGAGTAAACGCTGAATTAATAAGATCTAAATATCAATTAGAAATCTAAAGTCAGAAATCTGATTTAATGACTGCATATTATTCAAAATTAAGATAAAGAGCTTAATCATGTTAATAAAAAAAACTAGAAAAAGTAATATCAATATTGAATAGATAGCCTTTGTGGTTGACATTGGTAATTCACCAATTTTCACAAGAGATTTAAAGAAATCAATTGATTATAGCCAGAGTTAAAAGAATAAACAAAGAAATATGACTGATTTCTAATCAAAAACAATCGAAACATAAAAATTCATTAGTTAATTGGATCATTTTAATTAAGAGAAAATAATGCAATTTACTTTTGGATTGTAATATAATAAAATGAACAGATTAATATAAAAGTCTAAATTTCCTAAAGAAATCTTTCTTGGAGATGTAAGAAAGGTTAAAAGAATATTTTAGTAACAATGATTCTATAATATTCATTATATTGGAATTATGTTTTTAACTTACAAAGTATCTGCATTAATTTATATGAATTCTATTTTTCTATCTTCAGAATTGATAAGATATATTTATTATTTGAATATCTAAAATATATAATTTTATATACAATCGGTTATGTACAATTTAAATTTTATATTCTTTAAATACAATTACTATTCTTCTAAATAGTTTTCAAAAATAAATTAATTAATTAAGCATTTCCATCATTTCCAAATTGATTATAGCCACCCATAATAAAAATCTCTTAATTTGATATGGGAAATGAATATCCAAGGATTTAAGGTACATAAGACTAATAACAAATTAATAATTAAATTATACAAAAGAATTGACTAATTCAATTGGATCAAGAAATCTTTATTAGGTTGTACTAAATATTTCAATTAATGCATTTCCTTAATATTGATTCATCATTCCACCAGTAATACATATTTTTTCATCTAGTAAACAGCACTACCCTTTAATTCTAGGATATTTCATTGATTCAATTTATTCCCACTTATTCCCATTAATTAAATACCTAATCTAAAATTTGTTATTTCATACTTGAAACCTTTCTTGTTTCCAATCTATACATTATCAACCACAATATAGCCTCCCCAATAATATATAAATTAACCTTGTTTGATAGCCTAACCACCATAACTATTTATTGGTAATTCTGACATCATTTCTATTTTATTTTCCTATTTGTTGTATTTGGTTACCATTTGACTTATTTTGAATTATTTAGTATTTATATCTTAATAAAATTATCCTATAAAATACAAGCTTTAATTGGTATTTATTAAATTGCAATAATTAAGCCTATAATTATCATCGTTTAATATTAATTCTTACTATTTGATGTTATCAATGTAATCTATATGAGTATGATAAATAGTGTTATTTCTAAATGTGTATATACTATTTTATTATTCTTAAAACTTTAAATGTCCAGTCTTACTTTTCAATGTTAATAAATTCTTCTTTTATTATTTAAAACCACTAAAACTACTTGGAACTATTTTAAATTAATCTTTTAATGAAGAAAGTGGATACCTTTAAATTTCAATGATATTAACTTATATAATGAGTCCTTAATATCATATAATGATTAATTTGTAATTTATAGATTAATTTCTTTTGGTAATAATGAGCGTAATTAATGCAAATCATCTTTAATTTATTCATGTCTTTCAAGAACTTCATTATATTGTGTTTCTTCATAATTTGGAATATCTTTTCTTAACTAGAAAATTTGTTATTTTATTGGCGCTAAATGAATTTACACTAATTCATTAGCTACAAAATTGTATTGATTCTTTAAATTAGCAAAATACTTGTCAACAATTTAAGTGATGACTTTTCTAACCTATTTTATTTTCTATAAGGTTGTTTAATAAAGGATAGAATCACATACCTACATGTTGTTAATTTGAATCATTAAATTTTCTAATTCTTTTTCAATCTCAGCTATCTTTTAACATTTATGTGGAGTAAATATTATTTTAATTTCTTCTGTTTATTCTTTTTATCTTTCAAATTGATCAATACTCAATTCATCTAAAATTTATTTCATATCATAATATGATTGATCTTGATCTTAATTTGATAAGGCAGACATAAATCTATCTAATATTTTCTAAGATCTTTGACTAGTTTCGAAAAAACTTGAATTATTATGATTACTCATTTTTAATAATATACAATAAATACTTCAAAAATATCAATAGAATATGTAATAAATGAGAATATCTCTAATATCTAGGTTATTGATATTATAAATGGTATGTCATTAAAAAAGGTTCTCTCTACAACTTTATTATATATGCATAAACTTTTTATTTCTTTTACTTAACTAATCTTTCACTTAATCTTTGTTTTGTTTTTTTTATATAGAATAAATAGTTTTTATCTACTTTAAAAATTTACAAACATACAAGTATTAAGAAGGAACTTATGTTCTTAATTAATTATAAATTCTATGAAATTTAATTATATATATATTTAAATCTTGAAATTTACTATATATATATAATATATTAAAGTTTCATTGAATAATCATATAAATTAAGTGAAATTTAGTTTTAATAAATTGAAAATAAACGTTATAAATATTATTATATGATATTAATTCTAATATTATTATTATAAATAATAATTTATAAAATATTAAATAAATAAATCATAAATATATTTAGTATTGTATACACACTAAAAGTTTCACTAGATATTCTTTGTGTTGTAATTCATTTTTCTATAAATCCTTCATTAATTAATCACAACGTATATTTCCATTTAATTAATTTAACTAATCCAAATATTACTCTCTTTGTTGAAATATTAACTTAATTTAATTTATTAGAATTTCATTTTCAGTCTGTCCTTTTTCATTATCAATTTGAATTTTATTATTTTATAACTACTATAAGAATTCTGAAAATCTTGTATCATCTAATAATTCTTAATCATAATTATCAGAAATATCAATCTATAATTCATTCTTATTAAAACTAATATATTTTAATAATTATGGAAATGATCTTTCATTTTCTGATTCATATTATAAGAATTTCTTAAATTTTTCTATAAGATCATTAATATATTTAAGTTTAGTTGAATTATTATTTTAAAATATCTTCTGTCTTAGTTGACATAACATAGTTCCTATCTTTAATAAATTTGTTCCATACTCTTTAAATTCCTCTTCTGAATTCACATCTAAATCCATTATAAATTTAATTTATACTCCACAGATTTTGTCGATCTATTGCATCATTTATGAAAATTCAGTGTTCATATAAATTTCTTCAAGAACAACAAGATGTCTATGATAATTTTAAGTTAGCTTTTCTATATAATTTATAATAACTTAATCTGTATCTATTTATAAAATATAAGGGAAATGTGTTAAAACTTAATTATAAAAATGTTCATATTTAGGTAAATTAGAAGTTAAATTAATTTTTTTGATTTTTAATAATTCAACCTAATTACTTATTTATGGAATTTAACTCATCTATTCTAATAGTTTAACAGTAGGTTTGAGTACAATCATTCCAAAATTATATTAAACATTATAAACTTAACTATTTCTAATGATCTTCATAAATCTTAGTAATTCAGGTATGATGATATTCTAATACAACAATAATTAAAGTAAAACTCTAAATATGAGTTTTGTACACTTTTCTTATTTAGGTTTAATAATTTAACAATATGTTAAAAATAATTAATAAAAATCTGCGACTACAACTATTATAGATTGTGTATTCTCATCTAAATAATTAAACTCTAATTCTTAACATTTACAATGTAATTCCTTAATTACTTAATAGTCCTTTTATATATTAAAATATGCTAAAAAATCTTATTGATTTGTAATTTTATGTTTTAAACACATCAAATGTATTAAAATAAGATTTTGATCAGTGTTTTCTTCAATCTTATTATTTACTTCTCTTCTTTCCTATTTCTCCTTATCATATTTGATTAATTCTCTTTCAAGTTCATTACAATATTTTATCTCAATACTCTAATTGTCCACTCTAATAAAGTGGATTATCTCAGGGAAAATTTAATTTTAACAAAACAAATTTATTAAAGATTTTCTTATTCTCTCTTTTTAATTATAATTATCTCTATCTAAAATCATATTCATTAATTTTTATCCTTTTAATATAGGATCATCCCCTAAAATTTCAACAGTTTTTCTATCAAAATTATTCTATGAATATGATTTATATAGATATTAAAGATCTTCCATATCATCTAATATATTTTAAGTTAATTCTTAAAGTTCTGCCTTTTTAGATAGCTCATATAACATTTGTCTTCTTGATTCATATTTTGCATTTTTTCTTTAAATCATTATATTTATTATTCAATATAATATGTAAAATTAAAAGAAGGAAAAATATACCAAAATTAATGACCATTATCTTAGATTTCCTTTTATCAAATTTATAAAATGTTATCATAAAAAATCTAATTATGAGATAATACAGAATTATAAAAATATATAAAGATGTAAAGGATTAATATTTAAACCAATATTCTAATTGAAGCCTTAATAATATCACACTCGTTATAAATGAAAATACATTAATAATTGAAAGATATTTATAAATTAATAATTAGCTGAATTCATAAACTTTACAAAAAATAATAAAAGTAGTTTTCAATTTTTAAGAAAAAAGCAAATTAATAGTAAAATCAAATTACTTTAATTGATTTTATTGAAATAAATTAAAATTATTTCAAATCCACTATTAATAACAATAAAGTAAGTTGAGAAGTTAGTGGAACATATTTGATATTCAAAATATTGTTGTTAATGTTTTCAAAATTATAGATCATATCGCTACATATAATTTAACTTAAAAATTAGCTATCTAAAATATATATATAAACTAAAATGGTTTGATTAAGGTTTAAAATAATTAATAATTGATATTTTAAATCAGTTTGATAGTCAAAATTATCAAAAATGTAGAAATATTAAAAATAAATTCTTTACTTTTTATTTATGATTAAAAAAAGATTTTTTACATTGAAGAATAGTAATATTGAATTTATTAAACAAGATCTACTTAACAAAGCTTTTAAAGAAAAATATGTTAGAAATATGATATATGATGTATTAAATACACATAAAAATCAATTAAGGAAATAATAATAATTAGACTAGAGTATCATATTCCAATTAAAACTTAGAAGTATAATAAATATTATATATTTAAAAGTTAATTTCTAAAATTTATATGTATAGATAATTAATTTAAAAGGATTTAGTATCATTATCCTATTGTCATTATAATTTCTAAGTATATTATAAACTAATATAATCATTATTAACTCATTCTTTTTTATAATTTTCTAGAATAATGATATAGTTTTCTCATATTCTTATAATAATAGAAAATTTGATTATTTTTTGAAGTAATCCTTCATATAAGAGATTTTTAAGAATTCATACATAAATATTATTTATTCTAATCTAAAAGTGTATATACACACTTACATAATTATAAAATAGAATAATATTTTGAAAATATTTAATTTCTATTATTTAGTAAGGAGATAATAGAAATCTAAAATGCATGAATAAAAATGCAGATATTGAATGTATCATAAAAATAAATGACTGATTTAAATTTTATTTTATTGATTACTCAAATAAAAAATATTTATAAATTTTTATTTGTTTTGCTATCACGATGTGGTATAGTTTCCAGAATAGTGATTTGCTTATTTTTTTTATCTTTATTTTTGACCCAACCACAAATAAAATGACCCATAGTATCAAATATATACAAGTGGTTATCTTAAATTGTAAATTAATCTTTTCTAATGTATTTATCTTCTTTTGGATAATAGATAAAATAAGGTTAATCCTTAAAAGGAGTTTCATCTTAGATGATCCTTTCTCTCTCTTAATTTTCAGTTTTTTCAAAAAGATCTTTATGAAATAATCCTACATGCCTGAAAATATACACATTTTCAAGTTTTAAAGTTTTCATATAATCACTTAATTCATAATTTGCAACCCAATCTCTACAATATTCTTTAATTTTTTGAATGTTATTATTCCATTTTTACTTTGCATATGATAATCTAGATTAGAAAACATATTTCATCATATCTTCTACAAAATTTTTAACAAAATTCATATCTTTCAATTTAATAAGTCCTTCTTATATTCCATACTGTTAAAGAATTCTTATATTAGCAGATGCTGTGTATGCACAAATATGATCTGCTGTTGAATAGGTTTTGATTAATGAATTAAAGGTTTCTGAAAATTAATCATAAACTATTATTTGTTTAATTACTAACTTTGTATTTTCGTCAATTCTTAAATTGAGAGTAGTTTCTGGATTTAAATTCATCATATCAAAAGAATAATTATTTAATTATATTTTAAATCTTAGACTTAAGTGTATAATTTTATGTATTTCATATTTAAATGATATATAATACTTCAATATATAATAGTAATAATAGAATTCTTAAAACAAATACTGTATATAATGTAAATAATTTCAATGTTAAGTTCTCTATGAACCACCTCTGATACGAACTTCTCCTTGTCTAATGACTCTCTCTTCTCTTTGTTAATCTTTTGTATCTTAATTTTTCTATAAATTTATAAAATATTTATTTACTTCTTCATATTAATTTTTCACTCTTGAAGGTTAGCTATCTCTATCATTTCTATTACTTCTTATATTTCCTCTAGTTATTAGATTTCTTGAATGTTATGTTTATTAGAATTGATTTCTATCTTTATTCCAATTTTCTGATTTATCTGGATTAGCATAAGATTATTTTGTTTATTAATAATTTTTAGTATTTTCTTGTCTTCTATCAAATTTATCATCTTAATTAGATTTAATTTGCTTATAATTTTTGTCATCATTATTTTTTCCTTCTTTAGCCTTTCCTTTCCAATAATAAAGATTTCTAATGTACATCATTACATAATCAAAAAGTTCTATATTTTTATCATCTCCTACTTCATTTTATAATTGAAATCCAGGCATTAATTTTTCTTCTTCAGTAGGATTCATACTAAATTATATAATTAAATTTACGTCAAAGTAATTCGGATTGCTGGAATGAAAAGATGGAATGATTATTCTTTATTATCTTGATCTTAGATGTCTTTTTCCATGCTTTCAAATTATGTGATTGAATTAACACCTTTAATTCTTGATCTAATAATTTCAGCCACCAAAATAGCATGAGGAATGGCTGCACCAGATCCTAAAAGTTTAACAGATTTTTATGTATTTTCTTTATCTCTAAGACCTAATACTACTTTTACTAAATAAGAAGCTATTTGATCTTGAGTTGATTTGCCTTTAATCATGATATCAAATGGATCTTTCTACATTTAATTATTTAATCAATATTTATTCTTTAATTATATTATTCATAAATTAATATTAATTTTTTTTATAAGGGTATAAACATTAAATATATTTGAATTTTAATCAATAATACCCACCATGAACATTTGTTAGATGTTAATGACATTCAGTTGAATTATTAAACACTTTCATACATGGTTTACTACTATTTGGTAAATTCTTCCAACAAATATATTTTTTACAACTAGAACAAGCCACAGACATACAACCTGATATTTTTTATGCTAAAGATCTACAAACAGGACAAAAACGTATATCTTCTTTTTTCATTAATTCTTCCATAATTTTTTAATCACCTGTTTAATATTCCCAGCATGTCATTCCATAATGCATTTAAACTTTACATTTTAAACAATAAGTGACTTTACAATTTTCACAATAGATTGTATCTCCTTTGACTCTTAAAATATTTGAACATCCTGGATTAAAACAGAATATCAAAACTCCTCTCATATCATTTACATATTTGTTTATTGATAATTCTACTAATTTTTCATATTTAGCCAAACCTAAAATATTCTAAATATCTTCTAATAATATTAGATTTTAACATAAAGAACATTTGATAGGTAAAGAATTAATATCTTTAATTGAATTTGAGAAATCATAATTTAAACATTCATTACAGAATTTATGATTACAATTTGTTAAAATATAAGGTTGTTTCATTTAATTCAAACAATAACAACAAGTATTATCTTAATTTATTGATTGATTTTCTATATTTTCATCTTTTGATTCTAAAAAAGCTTCTAAATATTATATAGCTTCTTCTAAATTTTTAGCTTGTCCTGATAATTTTAATTAATTATTTTTCTTAATTGGAACTACATCAGTTAATTTAAATTTTTATTATAAGAATAATAATCCTTAATAATCATCTCCTAATAATTTTTTCAATTTTTAAGGAGTCAATCTGACTGTTATTGTTGAATTGGATTCTAAAAATGATTTTATTATATCTTATAATTCTTAAAATTATTCATCCAAACAATATACTTTTATAATTTTCTTAAATTAATCAAGACTTATTATAACACTCTTTTGAATTTCTAATTCTTAAATGAATTGTTATCCAACATCACTAAATAGAATAGTATTCAATTCTCCAAAATTAATTATATAACCATCTATTATATTTTAGATAGTATCTCTTACTTTAGAGAATACCATATAATTATCAGAAACTAAATGTAATTCAATTTCAGAACCTGAATTATCAACTTATTCAATTCTAAAAAGATTATTAAATTTCTATTATATTGATTTTATATTATTCCTAACAAACTTTATAAAATCTTATTTCACTTTATATTAATGTTTGTATTAAGCTTCACAATATAATTTAACTTATTATAATCCTAATTATATAAGTAAATTATTAAAATTAGTCAAAGCAGAATTAACAAAATTAATAGATGGTACTCCTAATTTTAATACTCTTTTGTAATCTTTTCTTTAATTTCTAATTCTATAAAGTTATTAATGTTTAAATCCTATATGATGTTTTCTATTTTCATCAAATAATAGTGACTCTACTTTTTAGAATATATCAAATTTAGGTTCATATAAAACAGATTTAGATATATTTATAGATTTTATTTTTGTACTCAATCTGAATAAATCTAATTCTGTAATATATTAAGTTAAATTAGAGATATTTACAATATCATTATTAACTTACATAATCATTTTCTTACCATCTAAAATAGTATCATTATATTGATTATAAAATTCTTAGGCAGCCATTTCATTGTTGAAAGTAATTTCAGCATTACCTTTACAATGATATATAAACCATGAGAGTTTAATTATATAAGGATGAAACTTTTTATTTTATTCTTTTTTAATATAAGTAGATGAAACTTTTATAGTGCATCCCTAAAATTCAGTCTCATCAAGATCATTAATAATTTCAAGAGTTGCATCTTTATCCCTTAAATCTATTTATGCAGTTTAAGATATTTTATATGGAATTAAAGTGATTGTATTAATTAAAGAATAAGGTTCAATTAAACTTCTGATTTCTGACTCTTTAGTTTCTAAGCTAAGTTAACTAATTTCTAATATGGAATTATTAGAATAATAACATTTATCAATAACTCCTCCATTAGATATAATAAATCTAATATTTGAATTTTAATATTCATATTCTTTTACTTATTAACTTAATTATTATTTGAATTTAGAAATAATGCTTACTAATTCATCTTCAACTTATTTACTATTATCAGAATATATGACAAGATTATTTATATTAAATGGTTCTATGATGCATTTATATTTGTGTTCTAATTTTGATATTTCAGATTCTTCATCATTCCACAATAAATTCATAACAGCAGTACAAATATTTTATACTATATGTTCCTAAACTGAAATCTTTCTGAACTTATTTTCTGCTACTGCTGAATAAAGTACTTAATTTTCCTTAATTCCTAATATATATTATGGAAGATTAATAATCTTAAAAATCTTTTATAAGGAATATTTGTGCATTTTATAATCTCTAGAAATAGGAAATAATTATTCTAATTAATATTCATTATCAGTTTAGAAACCATCAATACTACTTGATTATTTCTTTAAATTTAATTATTATAATCCATCTAAAACATCAAGATCATCAATTTCATACAAAGAAGAGAAATATTTGAGTTTTGCAATTATTAATAAAGCTTTAATTAAATTGATTTTATTATCATTACAGAATTTTTTAATAATACTTGAAATCTTTTCATCTTCACATGAATTCAACAATACAATAATTTACATTATTATATTATACCATGAATGATAATCTCCTTATTTAGACCAATATGAACTAGTTTTTATACTTAATTATTTTTGTAAACACTATTTATCAAATATTTATAATAATTAACCAGATGTAAATAAAGCAGCAATCATAATTCCAAATTTCTATAAATATTTACAATCTTCTTATTTACTTAGATTACATAATAATTTTTCAAAAATATCACTCTCCAAATCAATATTTGATGATTTTTAAGCTTACATTGTTAATTATAGATATTATTATTCAGAAAAGGCATAATAAATCATAATTCCTTCACTATTAGATTTAGAGATTTCTCGAACTTACAAATCAACTTGACTCAAATTTTAATATGAATATTCAATTGTGTTATCATCCCTTCTTTTTATAATTTCTCTTTAATTTGTATGGATTATCAATGTAATATTATATGATTCTAATTATTAAGGTTCCATTAATAAAAATACAGTGTTTGAGTAATTAGGTTAATGCATAACTCTATTGAATAATTAATTAAATTCATTATCAATCTTAACTATAACTCTTATTTAACTTTACTCAAATAAAACTCTAAGATATTCAATCTCATTAGCATCCATACAATATATCAAAATATCTCTTTCTTCATTTATTTATTACATAATTGTCTTATGAATCAATTATAGTTTTTATTCTTAAGTATTATAATCACTCAAAAATCTCCTTTACTCTATTGGTAAAACAGGAGTCTAAATTTCCACCACTTGAAATCCATTAGTCTTAATTTAATCAATCAAAGCTGGATTAATAATAAGAATATCGTATTTATAATCTACATTGCTAATCTGAGAACAATATTTATAATTTTATTTGGTAAACTATTCAGGTATTTATTTCTCTATGTCAATGTTACTATAATCAATAACAATGGTTTTCCTCTCAAAATTATATCTATTCACATTATCATGAAAATTTTTCTATTAGGATGCATACTTTATCCTCACTTATCCTTGTCTAGTTAAATACATTAATTTTATTCTTTAATAATGGATTTTCAAAAAATAACTTAAGTAGTATTGAGATACAAAAAAATTAATTCAGAAAAGATCCTACAATACTCATACTACCTTTAGAAACAAGTTTTAACTACTAAATTCTGATTTAAATATTACCTTAAAATGAGTGAGGATTTGTTTGT